AGGGAGAGGATAGAGGGAATGGCCTTGAGCTGAGCCAGGGCAGAGTCAGATTGGATGTGAGGAGAAATGTTTTCCCTGTGAGGGTGTTCAGGCACTGGGATATTGCCCAGGGAGGTGGTAGAGTCACCATCCCTGGAAGTGTTTAAGAGGTGTCTGGATCTGGCACTGGAGGATCTGGTTTGGGGGTTCCAGCAGAGTGTCAGGTAATGGTTGGACTCAGTGACCTTAGAGGCCTCCTCCAGCCTTGCTGGTTCTATGATTCTCTAAGTATTACACAAAACATTCTGCCCTGCTGTCACTGGCTCAGGCTGTATATGAGAGGCTGTGATTTTTAAAATGTTTTTATTTCCAAGTGGAGCAGAAGGCCCAATTTTCTGTTAACCTCAAGACTTCCAATTATCTCTTTGAAGCAAATCCTAGAATTAACCAGCATATCTGATAATTCTGACTTGATGAGAGGGTTATTTTTTGTTAGCTGCTCATATCTATACAATTGAAACAAAATCTTTCTGCAGTTTGTCAACTGACAGAGTGAATGATGAGATTGTTTTTTAACAGATTGGTTTTATACTTATTGCAGAAGAGCTGAAGGAACACTTGATAGGTGAACATGCCATTGACAAAATCTTCACTCTGGGGAACTCTGAGTTTCCCATTAGCTGGGACAATGAAGTTAAACTTTGGACATTCCTAGAAGCCAGAGCATCCCTTCTTTTGAAAACCTATAAAACAACCGTGGAGGTAAAATTATCATGATCTGTAATTTAAATGTCTGAAATGTTCTCTGTGTGTGTTGTGATTGTAGGAAAAGATATTTTGCCCTCCATCTTGTCTTTGCAAACTTCAATCTGAATGTTAGTACATAATTCATTCTGTACTTTTGAAAGTGTAGAAACAGTTTTGCATTACCTAAGGAAAATCAAATAAGATTGCAAAAAAGACAATTTTGTTAATGTAATTTTGGTAATGTATTTTTCCCTTTGATTCTCCAGATAGAGTCTACCTGCTTTTTTCTCTGCACATAAGATGGGGAAGCAGTTTCAACTTGTTGGCTGTTAGTTGCATTCTGCAGACTGCAAAGAAATGTGCTGCTATTGCAAGTGAATCAGTGAAATGTTGCATACATCTGTGAAGTCTCTTGACTTTGCTTGCTGTGCAGACTGGTTTATATGGAGAAATTTTGGGCTTCTTGATGAATTCATGACAAATTTCACTGGGGCTCCTTGCAGACCCCCCTGTCACATCCATTTGGCTCAGCCTGAAGAACCTAGTGTCGCTTACCGTTAACAGATAGAGAGAAGAGGTGAGGGGTTGTTTTCTCGTGTTGGTTGTTACTACCAAACTTGCTTTTTCTTTTCTAACAGGATGATAAATCCTTCTTGAAGACTCATGACCTTACTTCACATGCAGTAATGGCTATCAAATTGCGCTTGGGTGAGAAGGAGATCCTGGAGAAAGCAGTGAAGAGTGCAGCTGCTAGCAGAGAGTATTATACCAAACAAATGGCGGATGGAGCTCCACTTCCTAAATATGAAGAGAGCAATATCGCCTTGTTGGAGAACACTGTGGCAGACTCTAGTCTCCCTATTGTCTTGAGAAATCTAGAAGATGTGGAAGAGCAAGGAGACTTAAAGATTGATGAAGCCATTGATGCAGAAGTCACAGAGAATGGGTTTGTAAACGGTGAAAACTCTCTATTTAATGGGACCAAATCAGAAAGTGAAAATCTAAATAAGGAGAAGAGCAACAGAGGGACTGAAGATGCCAAAGAATCTTCTTCAGAAAGTACTGATGAGGTTAAAGAATAGTCCTAAAATTTTACCTTCTTGTGAAATTAAATCAGCTGAAGTTTATGAACAGTGCTTTTATGTTGGTGTGTTTCTTTGTTAACATTTCTCTTTCTGCAGAGAAAAAATGGGTTTGCTGCTTTATATTAAAAAAATGAATTTTTAAGTTATTTAAAAGATTTAGCATCCCTTTTCAATTAAGATTGCCATCTTGCTTTCAGGCAGAAGCTGGGGAAAGAGGTGCCTTTGGAAGATTTTGCAGCCCTTTGTTGAACCAAATGTATTTTCTTCCTGGGGAAGAATTAAGCTCTTCTATCTGCTGTGCTTTTGTTGTTCTGTCACTCTGACTACCGAAATTAAAAGCTTGCTCTGCCTCCTGCCAAGAAAAGCAGAAGGCAGGACTGACTCGGTATTCAGCATGAAGGTGGGAGAGCAGTACAGCAGAAAACTGGATGAGAGGATCAGAAACTTGGGAGACTGGAGGAAAACCTGTTTAAAATCAGGTGTGCCAGTCCAGAACAAGGTAAGGTGGCAACCTTATGATGGGTAGTTTTAAATGTTGATGAGAATCCAAATTGTGTACACTTAAGTGATCTCTGAAGATTTCAGTTTACTTCGTCTTTTGTTTACTGTATAAGAGTATCTCATCTTTCTTTTCCAGTCAGAGTTAGGCTGCTACAATACAACACTCACCAACTTTTAAAGGCTGACTACTTTTCGTTTCCAGACGGTACTTTTTATTTACAAGGTTGGCAGAGCTACTGGAGATTTTGAAAGCAGATAGGCCAAGCCACAGCTTTAAACTGTACTGTTCAAAGTGAGGTTGCTTCCCAGCTTCTTCAGGTTTTCACAACTAGCTAGAGATTTTCAAAGCTACACCTTTGACTAAACCATTATTAAAAGGAAAATATTGTTGATATTCCTGTCTTCTCCTCCTTTATTTCTGTGTTGTTGGATGTAACATTGAATGTGACACGGTTACCTGATCTTACTCAACTTCGTCTTTTGGTTAAGATATTAATTGATGCTGCTTTCTTGAAGGAAATGGCAAGCAGGCTGATGTATTTGTGGCCCAAGTCCAGACCACAGTCAAGTCTGCAGTGCCCCTTGCCATTTAGATTGTGTCTTCATCTGATGCACATTTCTTGGGATACCTCCACAAGTTAAGCAGGTCAACTGTCACCAGCAGTTTTGGTCACCCTCATACTAAATGTTTTACCGTCTAGGTGGAAACAATACAATCCTTGCACCGTGCAATATCAGAACAGGGGTAATTCCAAGGCTTGACTTTGGAATTACCTGGGTATTGGGAGAAGAGGAGGGCAGAATACTTTTATTTTGTGGGTGAATTGAGAGGAGGATAAAGTGATTCAGTTCTCGATATTAAGGACTTTGTTTTTGACCTTTGTATCCTTAAGTTCAAGATAATGGATAGAGTGGAAAGCTTGGACAGCTGTTTAAAGCTCAATAGAGGTTGCAAGCTGCTTATCTAAGATCAGTTGCAGTAAAATGTCTTTTGGCATATTCATAGTTTTACTAGATTTTGCTTCTTTTATACTGCAACTTGGAAAATGTGGTTTTTGCATCAATCTTTGGTGCAATGCACATTTAAATAGTGACTTTCAGGTTGTCATAGCAGTCCTGGTGTTCAGCTAGTATCAGTGAGGGGAAAATAGAAAAAAATAGTTTTTTAAAAAGTATTTCACTAAGAATGGCAAGTTGCCATTGCACCTTGGATATTGCTTCATCACTAACAAGATGCTGGACCAGTATTTTTGTAATTATATGCTGCCTTTGGTAGAATGTTATGAATTGTTGTCTTGACAATTGAAATGTCATACAAAAGTCATTACATTTCGGGTTGTTTTTTTTTTATTAGGACCAATATTCCATTTCTGTTTCTGCCACTTAATATTGCACAACGTTGTACTAGATACTATGATGCAATTCTGAAATTAGCCTTCCCTGGAAATGATAACTGTAATTCAGAAGTTAAATGCTTTGATTCAATCTGATACACTGTATTTTGTTCCAGTATTTGCTAATATCTATGGCTTAGCAAAGCCTGTGGTCACCACAGGACAGAATGTGTGGGTTTTCTTGAATAAAATATAGTTCTACCATGTCTTCACTAGTGAGTGTATTATACAAACAACCCCTTTATCTGCTACCAACTGCTGTATCTCTCGGGGTCTGTGGGGAGAGGAATACCTGTCCAGGTGTACTGAGAAAAATTAAGTAAGAAATAGAAAAAGGTGAAAAAAAAAAGGAGGATTCTAGTAAACAGAAAGGGAAAGTGGTCTGTTGAGTGCATGGTCAAATTCTTACTCTTCATCTGTTAGTGTTATTTAGAAAAATATGTTGCACACAATAAAAATAGTGAGTAATCTAATTTTGTAATTTGCATTTTTCCTCTATGCATGTAATGGTTCCTCAGAAGCACTAACCTAAAACTTAAGCTTTTGAAAACTGAGGTGGAAACAAAAAAAAATTGGCACTGATGAGCCCTTATTACCATCTGTCATGAAAACAGACCTTTCAAAGCATTTTAAAGTTAACTTTCTTCATAATGTTTGGTTAAGAGGCTGTTCACACTAATCCCAGGCTAAATGCCAAATCTTGCTTCTGTTTAGCTATCTAAAGCATTCCTGTAAGAAAGACATCACTTGGATTTCTCGGACTGTTCTCCAAAAACAAAACAGGGGGGAAAAAAACCCAAAAAAACCTTTTGAATTTTACATGAACCTACCTACTGGTGAATCGTTTCCTTAACAACCTATAAGTAGTTTGGATCTGTACTGGGAGATGATGTCCATATCACCCTGTTGATAAAGTTGAATGTACAAAATTGAGCAACAACCTCCACTCTGAAAAACGCTTCAAAAGTGTAAGTTCAGCCTTAGCTTAAGTGCTGTCATGAGTAAAGGAGAGCTGAGAGCCTTCTGGCTGTGGAGCTTCTTATGATGGTTTAGGTTCTTGGCTAAAACAAATGTTGTTTCCTTTGGGCATGGTTAAAAGGCAACATGTACAGAAAATCTGTGCAGCTCAATAGTAACTTCTTGAGTCTCACTTGCCTTTCGAGAGGAATGATCACCATGGAGTCATGAAACTTGCATGATTCAAAGATTAGAGAATCATAGAATCATCAAGGTTGGAAGAGATCTCTAAAATTACCAAGTCCAACCATTAACCTGCCACTCTGCTAGAACCCCTAAACCCTATAGCACATCCTCCAGCGTCAGATCCAGATGCCAATAGTGATGCAGATACTCTGGAAGATTTAAGTTACATGAACTTCTCTAGTTCACATGTTTAGAAACAGTGTTTCATAACTGCTGCTGCCCCTTCTATCACCCTTATTTTACAGCAAGGCATGTGAAGTCATTATGAAGCATCATTTGAAGTGTTTCAGTCAGCCACAAGAAAGGTGCTCCCAAAATCCACTGCTCTTCTGCAATTTTATGGACTTGAAAGTCAGTCCAGCTATTTCTCAGGCTCTGCCCAACAGGAGCACTCAGAAAAAACATTGCTCTACCAATTTATCTCATCAAGCAACACCCATCCCCTTTTCTCTAGAAGATTTTTAACTGATCCTCGTTGAAATCAGATATGACCACATGGTTTTCACGTAATTACCATCTATATTTAATAGCTTCTATCATGTTTCCTTCTTTGCCTGCATTGCGTGCTGTGCAAAGTACAGCACACAAATTGGTGACTCACGGTTTAGAAGAGCTTCCTTAGCAGTTCTCGGTTTCTACATCTATTTCCTAACAAATGCCACAAGTTTGGAAACCATGTGGAGGATTTTTCAGTGAAAATTTTTTAAAAAAAAAATCTCGATCCATAATTAAGAAAAAGAAGCCATGAATGGTCCTGGTTTCTTTTGGGTTTTGTGTCTCCTTAGGTTCATTGGTGTGTTCACTGTATTTCAAAACTGATTGATTGACTGCTGTAGAGTTAGTGTGAGTGACATAAACTTCAGCTTCAGTAATGCAAATAAAACCCATGACAATTTGCAATTTTGCCAAAGTGCCTATCCTATATGGTACCAACCAGAAACCAAAACACCCATTCTCTTCTATTTTGCAGTCTTCTGCTGAATGCAAAGTGCTCTAGTACTTATACTCTTGGATGATCCGCAAGAGGTATTGAACTATGCTTGAATAAGCTATTTCTTATAGCAGCATACATTGGGCAGTATATGGTGCCCATGTCCTTCTGAGGAATGTGGGGTTTGCCTTGTACACTGTCCTTAGTCCTTAAAGGCCTTAGCTTTCACATTGTGCTACTGGCTTGGATCAGTGGAAATGGATTATTTCTTTCTTGTTTACTTAGGTCTTTTTTTTTTGTGAATGCTGTTTGATTTAAATATTCTGCAGTTTGTTCACAAAAGTTGTCTTTCTCCTCTGTAAGGCTGAAATTTGGAAACACTGTAGGTGTCCTGCATCCAACAATTGCTTTATGGTATGGTTTAAGGGAAATTCCATTCCCTTTGCTTTAGTCTACTGGTTTCACCACTTCTAGTGCTGTTAGTAACTTAACCAAGGCTCCTAATTTTTCAGCACTAGTAAGTGGGGTTGTGTACAGATTTGTGGTCCAAAGGTATGAATAATGTGCCTGAAAACTGAATCTCCATACTGAAACAGGCAAGCACAAACTGCCTCCTATGAACTGCAAAGGAATGTTTAGATTGCCTTAAATATCTGTAAGAAAGTCCAACTGCCTTGCAGCAATTAATTCAAGTGATTGGATGCTAGGAATGGTTTATTATAATTGCACACAGGTAGTAATTTATTAGGGTGGCTGTTTCTTTTGGCATATGTCAAGAAGGTCAGAGTTTAGACTTTTTTGGACATTAACCTAGTCTTCTGAAACTCTGAAGTTCCACTTTTTGGTCATTAATTTCATACATGCTGAGATTGTGACAATTAACCCACTTAATAAAGGTCAAGTTTCAATTTTTTCCAATTTCTGGAACACTTAACTTTATTCCTTCTTGAAAATGGGCAGATACAGAATGATAAATAGTTATTAAATGAGAACGAAGATGTAGTTCTGCTGTC